CCTCGTGCTGGGCCGGTAGCCCCTCGCCGCCGGGCCATGCGCGTGTCCCCTCAGGTGTGGAAGCAACATGCGTGGTCCCGCTGGCTGAGAGTGTCACCTCGGTCCTCCACCCCGTGAGGAGTCCTGGGGGCTCCTCAGGCACCTGTGGAGGGAGGAGGTGTGAGGCGACGGGCGCCATGCCGTGTGGCGGTCCCCAAGGACCGAAACCCTGCCGGCGTGCACCTCGTGTGGTGCTGGTCTCTGAGGGATGGCTTGAGTGGGGCCCCTCGTCAGGACAGGCATCTTTGAGAAGTTGCCCACAGGCAAGCTAGGGGTGTGTTTTACACATGCGTGTGAGAAATGTCCCCCATAGAAATGTTACACAAGAAATGCTTGTCCTGTTCCCGCCTTTTCTTACACCGCTCGGGTGCCATTCCTCTGCGAAGGAAACACAGTTGGTGCGTTTCCCCTCTTGGTGTGTATCACCTCCATTGCTGGAGACCGTGCCTCAGTGAAGGCTTATTGCTAGAATGTGTCTTCCCTAAGCAAAAAATACCATTTCACTGTGTTGTCCCAAGGATGTACGACCTCCTGGAGCTTGTGCTGTGTGAACTTGGCCTGTGATAAGTTGTTCGGGTTGGAAGTTGTGGGAATGATATTCAGCTCTTTTGCAATAGGGGTAATGGGGTGGATTGAGAGTGAGTGCTGTCTTCGTGAGGATGGGCTATCAATGGACATGTCATGGCTGGAAATAGGTCAGGTGTTCCCTGTCCTTCCTTAAAAGAAAAAAGTTTGGGACCGTTCCTTGTGAACAAAATATGGGTGCCAAACTGTCTACCCTTATCATTTCAGGGTGTTGTCCGCATGTGGAAAAAAATGTCGTACAAATTACCCGTATCTCTTGCTTGTGTTGATGCCCCCACCCAAAATGAGAAGGGCAGGTTCAGAATGTGGTCTGTATTTTTTTTTAGTTTGCATTTTCATAAGGTTGGTGATGGACTTCTTCCCTGCGTTTGCACTATGATACACGGAATAAAAAGAGCTGCAAGAAATGCAGAGGCACAGATCCATACAACCCGTATGCCTGCTGCAGGGCTCACAGGCTATTTGACATCCTCTTCCTTCAGGCTGTTCAGAGTACCAAGTCTATGTTTCGTGTCTATCGTGAAAATCCTGTTGTGATCTTCAGGGAGCTGGCGAGTCACAACCTCATAGGATACTTTATTTCTGGTGGTGTCTACAGTTAAAGTTTGACAACTTTCTAGGAGAAACTGGCATGAGGGAGTCTGCTAGGAGCGTCGCTGTGGTGGTAAAAGAGGGTACAGGACCTGCACTTAGAGGTGGAGTGACACCAGCGACAGAGGAGCAGTCGGTCAAAAGCGAGGTGGCAAGGAGGTGAGGTAGAGAGCTTGGAAGTACACTAGGTAAAGGAAGACAAAGGTGATAACATGGCTAAGCATGACCACGGAGAAACAAGGCTATCAAAGATTAGGAAAGAAACAGTTGTAGAAAGAGTTCAAAAAACGGGAGGGGAAGAAGGAAATTGGGACCCGGTAGCTGAAAAGGACAGAGGAGGAAAACGGGACAACGTGGAACAAAGGTGGTGGTGCAATTAGCTTCTTTCCAGAGGGCAAAATATGTATTTTTCAGATGGATGCTAAAAATACTTCAGTGAAAACAGTTGCAGAGGAGCTGAATAACCATAAGTGAAGGATGGGTTTGGGGGCTGCAGAGCGCTGACAGCGGGATGTGAGCCATACTTTGAAAGTCTTGGATTTGTACACTAGGTCATATCATACTGTAAACCTCCTTCTGATAACATATGGGAACTTATTTGGTGGTCGTTCATGTGAACAAGTTGTATGTTGTCAAAATGTAAATATTTTCTTTCTTTTTTTTCTCCTTAAATATAGTTTGTTTCCATAAAATGACATGAAGGTTACAAGTTGTAAACTCAAGGAAGCTTAATTATCTGCATACTTTGCTGTTCCCTGGGGACAGGCAATCTGGCGCTGAGGATCTCTTGTCTTGGAAAGTTTGGTTGTATTTGTTAGGAAATGTTCCAATTTCCATATTAGCGTTGCTTTCTAAACTCCTGGTATTATTCGCATGAGATTTTTAGGTGCTTTGAACTGCAGTTCTAGATCCTGTCAGGAAGCCTTTATATTTGTTCTGCATGTACAGCAAAAGAAAAGCTGAAAAAAATAGAATTAGTGATGCTATCTCACACCTTTGGCACTGTTTGCTAGCGGAAGAAGAGCCTAAAAACCCCCTTTGATTGCATCCTTGGTAGCAGCTGCAGCGTGCAGCTAGATGCTCCTGGAGACCAAGTCATTCTGCTATATGCCCGACTTCGCTGTTTCATTATGAATGGCGTGTTTCTCATCTGGGGATGTGGTATTCCTTTTGTAGAATTCAAGTGAGCAATGAAATACTCAACAACTGCTGTTGTGTTGTCTCTGGGTTGCGGGATTAGACATTTACGCCTGTGCCCGTTTCTTGCAATCCTGCAGCTCCCGTGGCAGGATGAGGTCAGTGTATTTATTTCTCAGAACAAAGGGGTGAGATGGGCTCATTTCTGGGGTACCTGTGGGCTGGCGTGGCTTTGATCTGCTTCGGGTGCTGTGCTGTGGAGGGGTTAATTGATTGCTCATAGTGGGAAGTGGATTTGGTTTGGGTACGCTCTGTCAAACCTCAAAGGCATTGACTTTGCACTGTTTCTTAGCTCTGGCTTGCATGATTATTCTGTGTGTATCTATCTTTGTCTTTAATGTGTTATCTACAAATGTGGATAGAGGCTGAGTTCAAAGAAACTGAAAGCAAGTGATCAGTCACTTGGAGTTGTAGATACCGAGTGCTATGGTGTAGTTTTGTTTGGGTACGGTCTATCCATTCGGCTATTGCCATATTCATTGGTTTTCAGTCAGGCTGGACTCTTTAATTGTGAATTACAAAGATTGTCTCCACTGCTTGGGTGTTTATTGATCTGGCAGAATTTAGATAAGTGAAAGTGGAGCAGTCCTTTGTTCACTGTGCATTCACCTGAAAGTCAGACAGTTTAATAACTGCAGGAAAGCAAACGTTCGGGTGAAGATAAATCAACCCATTTAATAAAAAAAAACAAAGAGTGCCTTCATTCTAGTCTCTTCAAAATACAGACACTCAAAAGCAGTGTTGAAAACATTCTGATTTAGGTGATAAACTCTTTGGGACACAGATTTGTTGGGCATAACCCAAGATAATTCTCTTGAGCGTGCCCGTCTTAAATACGAGCAGCCATCCTGCTGCTGGCTTGCACTACGCAAGCTTTATCTTGCAACCATTTAGATGCCAGCCATTGAGAGGTAGAAGGACTAGTGTGCTTGAGTGAAGGACATCGTAAGTGGGGCTGAAAAATCAGGTTGGTGCAACGCTTTAGTTATAGCTCAAATCAAAGACATTTTTGTATCTGCGTGTTTTTAAGTAGTGCCTTGTCTGGTGGTTTCTCAGCCTTAAATAGGAACTCTGATTAGGACAGTGATAGAAGTATGGGTGAAGAAGAAATAAAAATAGCAATAGGTGGACTTGGGTTTCAATAAAGACCTTGTACACACAGTCTTATTTATCTCAAAATCTTATGTTTAAATTCTTACTCAAAACCAATGGCACACAAAAATGCACCTCAAAGCATTTGTAGTAGCAGAGAGTAATCCTTATCTTCTTATCGGTGGACAGTGTCTTATCACTGGCAGGGTGAACACAGCTTCTCTGATCTCTAATGTGCAGACTGACTGACTGTGGAAAGAAACCCCAAAAACAGATGTGTAGCTAACACGTTTTCAGAGTTGTTGCTTTTTTTTTGTAAGTGGCTTGCTCTCCTAGGACCCTTAGCATTTGTTTGCATAGTCTGTTAGGTTATACTTTTGATGTGCTTGAATTGGGTGCTCTTCACAACCTAGCAAATATGTTTAGGCTTTTGCAACTGTTTTAAAAAACATTTTGTGTTCTTTTTAAATCATCAGAACTCTTAAAATAACAAACGGTGGCCCTAATTCTGCTTTGGTTTTACTGGTGACAACCCTTAGATCAATAAGCTGATGTGGACTTATACAAAAATAGAAACTAGCCCTGTTGTTTAAACAAAAAACCGAAACCAAAACAAACAAAACCCCAAACAATCAAAAAACCCCACAAACAACGCAGAAAGCAACAACAAAAACCCTCAAGCATTTTTAGCTTTCAGGTTTGGTAATACCCTTGGAGATTGTTAGGAAAGCACAGAGTAAGTCAGTACTTCTAAAGCAGGGACTTACCAGCAGTCTACTACATCATTACCTGTAAATGTCAGCTTATCAGGGAAGTATAAGCTGGTTATTATTGCTGTTTTTTAAGCCTATGTGAACTTCACAGAATACAAGTCCACCGCAAACTGTTATTAGGAAGTGTGAATAGTTACAGGGAGTTGGAAATACAAAGTATGGAGTGTGAACAGGAGGGGTTGCCTTCACGGTATGGGCTTACCATCAAATACATACACTGAAAAATCACACTCCAGATTTTATGGTCGGTCAGAGGACGAGTGTTGAAAGCCTGCAGGTTGGGAGATGGGCTGGGGGCCGGGGGGGGTCGTTTGGGCCTGATCGGTATGGGCTCTGTGCAGGATTGCACCGTGCTGCTGATTAATGCACGTGTTGAGGCAATAAGGTATTTCTCCCTTGTGTTGAAGTGGGGCTGGAGCTGTGGTTTGCTTGCTACGTTTCCACTTAATAAGTGAGTACTTTTGGATATCAAAAGTGACAGGGAATTCACGTACAGATAACTGCTCTATAGGTGGCATATAAATATTTTGCGGAGTGAAAAGTGTCATGTACTGCTTTGACATTTTTAGAATTCGTTTTGGTCTGGCAAGGCTTGGTATTTCAAAAATCCAAAACTCTGTGAAAGAGGAGAGGGATTCAGTCATGCATAATCATTCCAACTTGGAAAATGGTTCTTTAATTTTTTTGATTTAAAAAAAAAAGTATTATGTTAATGCTTATACATTGCTTACATTAACATATAGGATAATTCTTTGTGGCATGGAGGACAAAATTAAAATGAATAATTCTTATAGAAAACCTCAGAGCTTAGAGTTTCCCATTATATCATTTTTTTTCTCATTTTGTAGGGTTTTTGTAGGTCTAATATTTTTTATGTTGTGTGGCTTTATTTTAAGGAAAATTCTGTTGGCATTCCGTATTTTATTTTCTTTAGATCTATGCTTTCCACCAGAATAAGGTTTTTCTAACTTCTATGAGGGGCTGAAAAGTGCAGCCGCCTTGTTACAAAGGGTCTGACCAATGTCCTCTGGCAAATCTTCCTGCAGTGCGTTACAGCCTTTCTGCCTGGCTGTGTGCTGGATGTCACTGCCCCGCTAACAACGTGGCAGGAGGGAATGTGTCAGTACATCGGTTAATCACCCTTATTGTGTAGCATATTAACGGGAGCTAACTGTCACTGGTAGACTGTATTAATATACCAGGCTGTGAGCTGGGGCAGCCGGAGAGCAGGCACACGTTCCCTTCTGTTAACCCTGTTATAAGGAACTGTAATTTCTGAGAGAGGAGCAAAATAAAGAGCTGGAGCAATAATGTCTTAAATTGCTGCATCGAGGCTCATGTGAACCTGCTTGTCAGGCCCCTAAGAGCTATGCTGATTTTCAGAGGATGCTGAGGTAGTGTTTTGTTCCTTCCGTTAGCTTTTTCTTTTTGCTTTTTAAAAACTTCATAGATCTTTTTGAAAGCACAAGAGACAGGGCTGAAAGAGATGGTGAGAAGTTACCTGGCCCATCCCTTTGTCTAACAGAATCACCTGCATCTAAACTGTTTCTAAGAATTTGTTTGTCTAATTGTCATTGCTTAATACTGTGTCAGTTAGTTTCCTCCTAAAAAACCTCCTTAAACTAGATTTTGGTGAAATCATGGACTACAAGAGGGAGACAATCACAGAGACAATCACAATCTGTCTTATAAAGACTTTATAGAGTGTATAAACTTTTTGTAACATTCAGCACATCACTAGCAAATTGGGTACAAAGTTATTACCGAAAGCTATTCCCTGTGCACGCACAGAGCCAGCCAGCAATTCCCCTGGTGTCCTAAATTAATGAATGGTCACATATCAGCAGGCGGTAGAGCAAGTGCAATTTCTTAGCTACCTTTTTTCTTTACTTTATTGAGAGATAGTTTGTCTTTTATATCAGGGCAATCAAAAATACAAAACCTCACCAGAAGGGTACATAGGGAGATGCTAAAGGCTTGTGCTTTCTCAAACTCCACCTAGGGATGACAGCCAATTTAGATGTTTGTGATAATTTTCTCAGCAATCTCTGTGTTGTGTATTTTGATCAGTGCTTGATGCAGTTAATACCAGTTTGA